TTTTTTTTGTTTTTTTTACTCATGGGGATGCGCATGATCTGAATTACGCAATGTATCATAATCTGTACTTTTTGTAGGTTTTGTAGTTTCATAACCACTGTTTTGGTTCTTTGTCATTATACAAAAGGGGGAAAGCATGGTGAAACCTCGGCACATTGATGACCTCAACAAAAACCACCCAACACCAGCTAATACAGATGGGCCAGTTGTGATCCCCATGGAAAAGACTTTTACTACTATGAAGCTACCCAGAAGATGCCGGCGCACTGACACTGGGGACAGGTTTACCTGTGATCACTGTGAAAAGTCTTTTACTCATAAAAACAGCTTAAAAAAACATCAGCTCATACACACTGGAGTTAAAGCATTCAGCTGTGATCAGTGTGGAAAGTCTTTTACTTACATGAAGGGTTTGAAACGTCATCAACTCATCCACACTGGCATTAAACGATTTGTCTGTGATCATTGTGAAAAGGCTTTTACTTATAAGTGTGCCTTAAAAAAACATCAACACATTCACACTGGTGCTAAACCATTTGTCTGTGATCAGTGTGGCAAGACTTTTGCTCACGTGGATAGTTTAAAAACTCATGGCCTCATCCACACTGGTGCTAAACCATTTATCTGTGATCAGTGTGGAAACGCTTTTGCTCGTAAGGAGAGTTTAAAAAGTCATCGACTCATCCATGCTGGAATTAAGTCATTTGTCTGTGATCATTGTGGAATGGCTTTTACTCGTAATAGCAGCTTAAAACAACATCAGCTCACCCACACTGGCATTAAACCATTCAGCTGTGATCAGTGTGGAAAGGCTTTTTCTCATAATGGCAGCTTAAAACAACATCAGCTCATCCACACTGGATTTAAACCATTCAGCTGTGATCAGTGTGGAATGGCTTTTACTCTTAATGGCAGCTTAAAAAAACATCAGCTCACCCACACTGGATTTAAAGCATTTAGCTGTGATCTGTGTGGAAAGTTTTTTACTCAGGATGGCAGCTTAAAAAAACATCAGCTCATCCACACTGGATTTAAAGCATTCAGCTGTGATCAGTGTGGAAAGTGTTTTAATCAGAATGGCAACTTAAAAAAACATCAGCTCACCCACACTAGAGTCAAAGCATTCAGCTGTGAACAGTGTGGAAAGTGTTTTGCTCAGAATGGCACCTTAAAAAGACATCAGCTCACCCACTCTGGAGTTAAACCATTCAACTGTGATCAGTGTGGGAATTCTTTTAGTCACAGGAGTTCCTTGAAAGAACATCAGCTCGTCCACAATGGCACTAAACTATTTGTCTGTGGTCAATGTGGAAAGGCTTTTACTTACATGAGGGTTTTAAAAACTCATCAGCTCGTCCACACTGGTGTTAAACCATTTGTCTGTGATCTTTGTGGAAAGGCTTTTCCTGACATTTGGGTTTTAAAAAAACATAAACTCATTCACACTGGTACTAAACCATTTGTCTGTGGTCAGTGTGGAAAGGCTTTCGGTCGCATAGATACTTTAAAACATCATGAGCTAATCCACACTGAAGTTAAATAGTTTTTATATGGTCAGTGCTGAAAGGTTTTTACTTGTGTCAATATATTTAAAAAGCATCAGATTATTCATACTGGAATTAAAGCGTTTGTCATCAGTGTAGAAAGTTTTACTCAGATTAGATTCTTAAATTTGCATAAGCTTATCTATGCTGGAGTTAAACACTGTCGTTGTGCATAGTGTGGACATTCTTTTGCTAGGTTTTGTCATCTAAAAGAAAAATCCCAATCTCACCAACTATTAAACCACTGAAATATGAGGAGTATGGAAAGTCTTTTATCCATAACACAAACGTATTGAGGATCAGCAAACCCATACTGTGTGTCCTTTTGGAGACAGTGAGAAGCACAGAGGATCTGAACAAATCTGCTGAATGCTAGGTCAAACTTCGAAAGCTTGAGATCAGGCTTCACAGAATTCAGCTTTAATAATTGTCATCAGAGGCAAGAAAGAATACATGTGTGTAAATGAGAGGGAGACAGGTGTAACAGTGGTCAAAGGACACTTGGCAAAGGATGATGAAGATGGGGCTACCAGGCAGAATGAAAAGGTCTTGCGACTTTTACCTTTGCCATAAAAAATGTTTTAGTAGGATGTACATATTGATTGTAACAGTACTTAAATCTGTAAGTATTCTAACATGAATTGCTTGCAGTGAAGGATAGGAGGGTTAACAATTAGAAAAAGTGCTGTAGCTTTATTCTTGCTGTAGTATGTAGTTTCTCCATGTGGTGGAACATGTCCTTTTGTCTGTGAAGGTTCTCAGTCATCCAGGTCATCATAGTCAAAGGAGCTTGCAAAGAAAAGCGTCTGGACTTCTTTAAGTTACTTGAAGACGTTTCACCTCTCATCCGAGAAGCTTCTTCAGTTCTAAGGTCAAATGGTGGAGAGTCCCAGATATAAACCTAGTGGGAGTATCCCCCCACAGAGGGACATCAGGGGGTCCTTTTGGCAGCCAGCATGTAAGAAGACTTTCTTTGAATTGTTCATGTTACTTTCTTACATGTTCTAATTTTTAATCAAACTGTTTAATAAAGAGCAGCAGAGTCCTTTCAGAAACTCCTGATTGTTGTTTCATAAATCTAATGGCTCTTTACTAGAAACCTAAATTAAAGTCATTAAGAGGCCACTGATGCAGTAAGACTTAGAAATCTATGTACACATAATAAACCAAGCGGTTCAGTAAAGATTGAATTGAGGAAAAGGTTGTCATGTTAATATAATGCAAAAAATGTTGACTTTATCTGTTCTGTGCAAACATCTGTGAACTTGCAGACCAAACATTACCATCATGTGATCACAAGGAGAAGCAAAACGTCTGCACAGACTACGTTCTTGGTCAATCTGAAAGGCCTGTTGATGTTTACTTGGCTGTTCATCATGAGATAATTAGTGAAGTAAATGCTGTGCTGTTTCTGTTGTAACTTGCCCATGTGAAATGTGTTTTAAATGGTCTCTGTTGTCCTAAAAATGATGAGTCGGTTTAGCTGCATGAAGAGAAAATGAAACCTGTAATTTTTATGTTGTATTGCAAATATTATTGTATTTCATCAATTTGTGTCATTTTAACTGGGAAGTATGTGTAAAATTAAGTGTATCCTATAATTATTTAGATATATAAAAGATATGATGTATCTTTCTTATTTTCTGTGAACTTACTTATACATTACTTAAAAGTTATGTCAGTATAGTAATTTCTTTGTTCTCTGTAAGAAAATGACTTTCTATCCCTTTATCTATTCTCACACTGAAAACGCTACATGCAGATGAACATAATCAACATTTGGGTATCCCTTTGTTGTAGTGTACCTACCATTAAGTATTTGTGGATAAATATAATTATATGCAATTTCAAAAAAGAATTGAAATTGCATATAATTACAGTGGAATTATACCATTTATCACAGGACCACACACAACCCCACACGTGCATTTCAAATCCCCTGCAACTGTATTGTCATGTGCCATGTGTGGTAAAACACATTATTGTAGTGTACATTATTTTCACCATTTCTCACCAGTTATATCACAGTGGGTTTTCCAGATCTCGTACCAAATGATATACCAGCCTTTAGAAGAAAGTGGTGTCTGACAGTCAAGTCACTGTAGAACTGTACAAGCTCAGGGGTCCTCTCATGGGCAATGTGCATGACACAAAAGAACAATATCAATTTTGCCAAAATTAGCATTTCTTTATCCTTTGGAAAATCAAAGTACCACATGAAAGAATAAATGCACCTATGAAAGAGCAAGTATCACAGCTCTGGAGTTTTCTTGTTTACCATGCAGACACAACATTTTAATTCCTTTTTCCATTAAACAACATTTGCTTCTGCTCTCCTCAGGTGTGCTAGATTAGATCCATATGCAGTCTTCTGTACTGGATTGTAAAAATTGCTCTTTATGAGTTTATAAACAGGTTCTCAAAGAGCGAATTTTTCAAATGGAAAAAACACACAAATGTGGTGGCAAAAAACGAGGGTCAGTTCTTGCCCACTTTTAATAACTTTATTGTGCATACGTTTTATGGAAGGAGCCCCACCTTGAGTATCAAACCATCAGCCAAAGAGCTTGCGACTCTCCTCAAATTGGCTGCAATGTGAACATCCACCTGTCTCTACAGGCTCTTGTTATTCGATGGCTACTTGATAGAAACATATGATAACGAAGGTGTAGAAAGATTCAGAAGATTCAAATTTTCTGTAGATAAAATGAATAGTGCATTTATTATGAGGAAAAAGTTTCAGAAAACCTAAAGCTGCAGTTGCAGTTATGACTTGCAAATGTTAAAATATATTTTTTTACAATCCCACTACTTCTCACATGCTAAGCAAGAGCTCTACCCTTTGAGCTATTCCCCCTTGGGTATATGGTTGGGTTAAAAATTTACCTGGAAAGTACATTTAGGAAATAATTGATGAAGCTATCATTGATAAATTGATGAATGTTAAATCATTTTAAATGTTATGCAGCATCTGGTTTGAAGTGGGTGGGGAGCTGAGTAAAGAAATGAAATCAGTAATTAAACAAAAGGTCAAGGGAATGGTACAGGGAAATGAGACTTTTGTTTTCAATAAGAATAAGTATCAGTAGAACATGTTTTATTGTTCTGTTCCAGCTGGTGGCGGTAATACACCAGAAACGTTAGTTGCCAACCCCCATCAAACAAGAAAAAAAAGAAGTAGTGCGCATGTACAGAGCAGAAAGTAGGCTTAAGAAAGAAAGAAAGAGTATAACCACAGTCATCATACTTATTGTATCCCACGGGTTCCTTTATGTTTTGTTTTGTTTTTCAAGCCGGCTTAAGGAAAAGGTAGTGTGGCTGTGCCGAGCTTCCTTACTGCTATCTAGTGATGACCATACAAATCTTTCTGAAGCATTGAAGCTTGTGTTAAAAAATAGTTCATCACTACAAACGTTTCAACCAATGACTGTAGAAAACATGGACGACGTGGCAGCACCTCCTCCCACTGTGCAAAAATGAAGCCAAAAATCAATGCCAAAAAGCATTTAACGATAGTTACGGTCAGAGTATCTGTTAAGATGTTAAGAATAAGTATCTCTTAAAATGGTTGCAATAATGAAATATTCAATATAAGGTAGACAAAAAACGAAAAATAAAAAGATAGTTACGGCTCAGGACTCCCCGATCCTTACTGCGCATGTGCAAAGTCGGACCGTACAAATCAGGGGCCTGTCTCAATATGCATACTTCTGCGTACTTGCATTCTCGTGTACTCATGATATGTCATCAGTTGGAGACCAAGTACTGTTCAAATTCAAAGTAGCCGAGAACATGAAAAATTCCCGGATGGGTTCTCGCTCTGCCTATTTTATCGAGCACGCATCGGTGTTGACTTGTGTAGACTTGGTACACTTAAATATCCCAGAATGCATTTCATCCAAAACCCAAACGCGGTAATTGCGGAGGAGCACGGCTAAAAACTTTTAAATATTATTCTTTCTAGGTCTTTTTCAGTGCGTTAGTTGTGTTTTATTTGTTGGTGAGTAAATCGGTATGGCTGAGATTAAAGTTATTAGATTAATTTAGATTAAATAAAACTTTATTAATCCCTCGGGAGGATTCCTCTGGGTTCTCACACAGCTGAATAAACTGCTGTGTGAAAACAGCAGTTTATTCGACCATCTACGCCAGCGTCCGGTTATATTTTAGACAGCGAGGAGCAGACGGCAGGTGACGTAATTCTGAAGGCTAGACCGTCCAATTTCACAGTCGCTCATTTCCGGTCTACCCAGCTTTCGGAGGACTCGGCCCACTTAGACCACAAAGGCCGGGTCCTCAGGTGGACGCAGCCTCTGAATTTGGACACCGCCTGTTTCCGGCCGGACAATAATAACGCTGACATTTAACTTATTTTATCCGATAAATAAACACTGTAAGATTCAAGTTTTTTGTATATATATGTACATGTATACCCCCCCAAAGCCCCTTTGAATGTCTCCCTAATTCTGAGGTCTCAAGGTTGGCAAGTAGGTGCTAGGCTTGGTCCACATCAGTCTAAAATTGTATGTAACCATGAATAATGTGATGCCATGTCCACCAGGAGAGACTGGACAGTATAGATGTAAAACCAATATGCCAGCAGTTCATTTCAGCTAATGAGAGGAGAAGGCATGTGTTTGTTGTGTGGGCATGTAGTCCATATCTGTTGCTGTAACAGTAGTTCATGTTTAGAATAAAACATCCCAGCTCACTGATTTGATAGAGGGCAGTAGTGCCTAAAATGTTGCATAATTTGGCTGAGAGATCTTTTACTTTGTGGTAATCTTAGACGAGTAGTTTTAAGGACAAAACCCACCAGGTCAGTCAGTGTTCTGTTAGTGCTAATGTGTCAGAGATGTTGGTGTAACTGAAGTAATGTTGTTAAGTACTTAAAGTCCTATTCTTTTATTGTCATGACTGTATTTGAAGCCATTTTTATTTTTGTATGATACCTGATTTATATGAATATGGCTGAAGTAAACTAAAGTCTAAAATACTTAGTCATTTGTTTAATAGTAATTTAACATTATATAATTCACATATAAAACTATGAATTGTAATTTTAAATGGTTTAAAAGCATGTAGAATAGCATATATAGGCAAGTATATTTCTCCTTTTATCAAGAAGCAAAAACAAAAGGGAAAAAATAAGAAACGGGGCAGGGTTCAGTGGTTGAATCATCTGTCCCCACCAACGCCACAACCAAATCTACACCCTTGCTCCGACGTTTTTGGCAACGTCTTTTACCCACTAGCTCCATAGTAGACCGGGAGGTTGAGGATCACTAGAGCCCGGCCAGAACAGCGGACTCCCGTCACATCGTTTTCAACCCCACCCCCTCCCACCTGCGGTCTTTCGCTACTCAGGTTAAACATGATATATAAGTCTCTTAGTTAACTTTGAAATGTTAATGTTTGGTTTATTTCAGTGTTTTATTTGTTCGTGAAAAAATCGGTTTGGCTGAGATCTTGTCACGGACCCGGCTCTGGAGGACTCAGGGGTCCGTGAGCAGGATGGACCATTATTAGTATTATTAGTATTATTGGTATTATTGGTATTATTAGTATTATTAGTATTATTAGTATTATTAGTATTGTCATTGTTGTTATTTGGGGATGTGTGTCTTTCTGCACTGTGCTGTGTTCTGTGTTCCACTCATTATATGTAGAGGCAGGGTGTGGGTGTGTACATGTGTGGCTGGAGGATGGAGAACAGCCACATGCGGACCTGATGGGTGTGGCCCGGCAGGAAGACTGGCCACACCTGAAGTTCCTGCCTGGTGATCAGGGCTCGTCGGGGGAGCTACTTAGGAGAGTGTTGGAGCTCCCACCGGTGTGGGTTCATTCTGTCATGGTCTTGTAGGCAGACTGTGGGGGATATGGGGAATGAGGACCCAAAACGCAGACTCTGCGATGCAACCAGTGCTCTTTATTTACAGTGAGAAGCTGTAAACACAATAACTCCCCGTTGTTCCCTTGAATCCCGTGTGTGTGCTTCCCTCTAACGTCTGTGCTCGTGCTCCCCGCTGTTGTGTTTCCGCATACCCCGTGTGTGCTGCCTTTCTGGACCACTCTTCCTCCTGCAGGAAAACCATAGAAGCAGCCGTCAACACTAACTCTGGCGGGCATACACGAACAGCACTGACATATGCTGACACACACTAACTTGGTAACTCAACGAACCCGCGCCGGTGGGAGCTCCAACACTCTCCTAAGTAGCTCCCCCGACGAGCCCTGATCACCAACAGGTGTAAATGGTCTGTATTTGTATAGCGCTTTACTTGGTGACTTCACCAATAATACCAATAATACTAATAATACTAATAATGGTCCATCCTGCTCACGGACCCCCGAGTCCTCCAGAGCCGGGTCCGTGACAGATCTATTTCAATCCAGGAGAAAAAAAATTTCACCGGGAACAAAAACAGCATGAGATTCTGAAGGCTGCTTCAAAATGCCAAACTACAAGTTTGTAGTTCGACGTACAAATGACCTTCATCGGGTTTATTTAATTGTGTCAGAGAAAATCAGCTGTGCTCTTCATTCAGCTGAGTACATCAAGTGTTTAAAACAGAAGCTGTGCAGGGGATCAGCAGCTCTCTGAAACACCAAACTGACATCCTGTTAATGCAGATATACAGTGACACAGTTACATGGGTGACTTTTTGTCTTTAACTATATCACTAAAACAGCTGCAGCTTTCACTGACAGCACATTTGGTACTTTAACCTTTGTATTGTTTTCATCAATTTGCAGTTAACATGTGAACATATTGGACGATCTGTCTGCTATCACTGGTTGGTGCTGACGTCTGAATCTGAGGACAGCTCCTGTAATTATAAAGAGAACAGAATCCTGTCTCAGAGTGACGCTGAAAAACTAGTTCACACATTTATTACTTCTAGCCTGGACTACTGTAATTCATTATTATCAGGATGTCCTAAAAACTCCCTGAAAAGCCTTCAGTTAATCCAAAATGCTGCAGCAAGAGTACTGACAGGGACTAGAGAGAGAGAGCATATTTCTCCTGTATTGGCTTCCCTTCATTGGCTTCCTGTTAAATCCGGAATTGAATTCGAAATTCTGTTCCTCACATACAAGGTCTTCAATAATCAGGCCCCATCTTATCTTAATGACCTTGTAGTACCATATGACCCAATTAGAGCACTTTGCTCTCGCTCTGCAGGCCTACTTGTTGTT